TAGGTTGAGGAGGAAAGGAAGGGTCCCCGGATGGCAGGTCAGCTCCACCCCCACTCGGGAGACTATGGAGGGATGTGCTACAGCGCCTCCCCATCCCCCTTATCTGGGGTGTCCGAGAAAACCCCCAAATCCTGGTCTCAGGGAGACTTACTACCCTGATCCAGACTGTCCAGTGACCCTACCCAGAGACTGACTCACTGCCCTTGGCCACTGCTGCTGCTCAGACTAACAGCCCTCACACCCCATTAACCCTGGCCACAGGCTGGCTGCTGCCAACTTCTACCCACACTCACCCCCGAACCCCGCCTCCCAGGCTGAACCCCAACTCTGGCCACACTCTGACCCCTCACTCTTGCAGAATGACCCCCTGATTTGGGTCACAAACCGACCCGCGCAACCACTGACTCTTCACGGGAGAAACAATCAGATAGCAATTAAATCCTAAACTCTAGGAGGAACACAGGCCCTCAGAGAGAGGAGACCGAGGCGGGAGGGGAGGGAGGGAGAACGGGGTGGAGGGCAGAGGCTGCCCGCAGGCCCCCCGCGGGCCTCGGCCGCACTCAGGGGGTCGGAGGGGCCGCGTGTGGGGCACATCGCAGGCGCCCGAGGAATGCGAGCGGCCGGGCCGGAGGAAGGAAGGAGCGGGGCGCGATCCAGGGCCGCCGCTCGGCCGGGCAGCGCCGCGGAGCTGCGGCGGCAGGAAGCACAGGGCGGGGGCGCCGCGGGCCGGGCGCAGCTGGGGGCAGCGGGGGAGCGGCTGGGTCAGCGGCTCGGCCGGGTGGGGGGCCCCCCCGGGCCGGGAGGCTGGGAACCGGGAGGCCGCGCTGCTGGCAGGGCGGCGGGGGCGCCGCGAGACTCCGGATGGGCTGGGAGCCCCGCCCGCGAGCTGCGGAGGGAGCCGGAGCCAGAGCGGAGCCAGAGCTCAGACATCCGGGCGCCAGCGAACACCTGCGAGCGGCCCCCAGGGCCCGCGGGGGGAGCCGGCCCGCGCCGGGGGCGGGCGGGGGCGGGGCCGGGGCGGGGCCGCGGGCTCGGCTCGGGGCCACGTGGCCGAGGCCCCGCCCCGCCCGCCTGCGAGCAGCCTCTGCGCCGAGTGGCTCTGTTCTTGCTGGGCGGGGAGCGGGCGGAGGGCACCCTGGGCAGCATCTGGGGGGCAGGAGCCACAAGAGGTTTTGGGGTGCAGCCCGGGGAGTGGGGAAGAGTGGTGGCTGGGAGAGGTGGGGAGTCCTCGGAGACAGATCATTGGAGGTTGGCCAGCGCAGCCCCGGCTCGGAGGAGCTATAGAAATGGCCTTCTCTAGTGGGCACCACCGTGTCCCGTGTCCCGTGTCCCGTGTCCCAGACATGGGCTCGAACCCCTGTCTTGTGGTTCCAGAGCTATGTGGACGCGGGCAAGTTACTTTGCCTGTTCCAAGTCTGTTCTTTTGTTTTGTGTGGGTGTTTGGTTGGGGTTTTTTGTTTTTTACAAAGTAAAAATTTCTTCCAAATGTCCGCATATCAGAGCTGATGCTAGAATGTACGTTAAGACACGCAATGAAGGGTGAACTTGATGTTTCAGAGAGCCTGATAGATGCTGCAAGGCGTGTTATCTTTCCTAGGAACCCAAACCTGCCAGGGCGGTAGCATCATCCTTTTACAAATGAAAAGGAGGCCTAGGGTGGTCTTAGGTCTTTTGTTCAGCAAGCACCCTCTGGAGACCCAAGTCCGTGCCAGGCCCAGGGGATGGTGGGAGGGAAGAGCTGGCCTGGAGCAGAGGTGAGGAACCTGGCTTTGGAGCCAGATGGAGATGGGTTTACCAAGCCTCCCGGTGTGACCTGGGTCGAGTTATTCAGCCTCTTTGGGTCTGTTTTCTCTGGATAGTGAAAATAATGATACTTTTATGGGTTTTGATAAGGATTAGGAAAAAAAATGAAAAGAGAGCCTGGCTCTCGGTAGGCACTGGATGAGTGATTATGACAGAAGTCGCTGTACTCTTTCTGAGAGTTTTCTGACCTTAGGGCCCAATTGCTTTCACTCTCTAAGGACGAATGAATTGGTGTGCTGGTTTCAGCTTTTGTCTCAGCCACCTGAACAGCTCGGTCTCCGCAGACCTAACAGGCAATTTCCTTGGAATTAGCTTAATAATACCTTGTAGGTGTGTGATGCATTTCAAAGAACGTTCCCACCATTATCTCTGTCCAGGGAGGCAGCGTTAAAGAACCACCAGCTGCTGGGCAAAGGGAGGAGAGGGCTTGGGGAAGTGAAGTCAGTGGCTTGCTCTTTCCAGCATTCCACAGCCCCGACCTTCTGAGCAAGCAGGAAGCTGCATACTGGGGCAAAAAAAAAAAAAAGGTACAGAATGCTGAGTCCAGTGCCTGGCTCTACTGCAATTAATGGTGTCATGTGGGGCCAGGTGCCTCCGAATCGTATCCTCAAGATCAGCAAGTTTATACAGATGTGAAAACTGAGGCTCGGTTATGTAGCCAGTATGTGGCAGGGCAAATATTTGCACCCTGGTGTGGCTGTCTCCAGAGCCAGGACAGCACACCCAACTACTGAGCCAAGGCCGACAGACCCAGCCGGGGTCGTGTACCTCTTGTTTTGAGGTAAGAGTTCCTCCTAGGAAGACTGAGGGTTTCCTGGGGGATTGGAAAGCTATTGCTCTTCGAAGTTGTACGAAGAGTGTTCATACCTTCCATCCGATCACCAGAGAAGGCCAGAAAGCAGGTTGAGAACCACTGGCTGGCTGGCAGGATGGCTGGCAAAGACGCGGTGATCGCTTCCCCGCCACATGCCCTGCTCACCCCCGAGAGCTCTCCAGGGTTAAGGCGTTAAAGGGGTGGTGATGACGTGAGCTGTTTGTTATGAAATATTGAACTAATTCATGCCAGGAGCCAACACACAGATGAGATCATATCATAAACGGGAATCTAGGGAGGCCAGATGCCTGTGCAACCCACCTGGGGAGCTGCCAGGTAGGGGGGCAAAGAGGCATGGGTTGGGGGCCTGGCCCCGTGGAATATCCAGTCTCAGGCCCTGCTCCTGTCACCGTGTGAGTCACTGTAAAGATTAAAACCATCTCTGCCTCTCAAGGGGCTCTGATAACCTGGCTCCGACCCATTAACCTCAGTTTCTGCATTTCTGAAATAGAAATGAAGATGCGTGCTCTCAGAGAAGGCTCCCAGTGCAGGTGGTATGGCAAATGCCAGAAGGAATGAGGCTGTAGGGCCTCTTTATCCAGTTCAGGGTCAAAGTCTCCAACTACCTGATGGTAGAGGAGCGATTGGTATATTTCCCAACCGGCACCAGAAACCCTGGTCAGGATGTCGGGGGACTTGAGGGAAGATACCCCTCTCCCTCGTTTCCCAATCTGGGAAGCCCAAGAGGAAGCCAACCAGAGCGCAAGGAGGAGGGAAGTGAAACCAGACCCAGCAGCCTGTTTGCTCATCTCTAAAGTGGGTCTGTGAAGCACCACCTGCCTGGGCACCAGGTGAGGCACTGCTCTCCCCCACGCCCCGCTAGAAAGGCGTGAATAATAATGGATTGAAGGCGACAGGCATCTATCTGCCTGTGTAGCTCAAAAGCCCAGGGGACTTCACTGCAACCGCAGACCCGAGTTCAATCCTGAGCTCCCAACTTGCTGGGGGAGCTGGTGCTGGGTCACAGCCCCTTTTAGGACTTTCCTCATCTGTCAAGTGAGGAGCCAGACGTCCAGGAGAGTCTCTGCACCAACCCTCAATGTAGGGCTCCCGCCCTGAACCCGTATACTACTTCCCCTCCACCCCACCGTTAGCTGGGAATTTTCCCCATTTCTCTTTTGAGAATAAATGCTTTCCCCCCCAAGCTCCAGGAACATGTATTTCCCCTAAATTCAGCCTTGCGGGAATGTTAGCCCTGATGGAATCAATCGAGATATACACACACGTGTTTAAAAACCGTTTATTATGCAAAATGTTAACTTTTATAAAAAGTTTAATAACATACATCCCATGGTTACAGAAAGTCACCTTCCTGCAAAAAAGGTACAAAAAGCTATATACTCTATTATAGAGTTCATAATCGGGGCAACAGAGCCTTTTTTTTTCCGAGACCAGAAGACCAGCTTTACTGCTGGCCTTGGCAGAGTTTGGAGCAGCCACTCTTCCCCCCACAACACCCCCCCTCCACACTCGGGACAGTCTTTAGAACGTGGGGGCGGGTGGGGAGGGGCTGGGTGCCGTTGCCCAGTCGGTGCCCAGAGTTTGCTCTGGCTCTTCAGGCCGCCTAAACGTTCACAGTCCTTCGCTCCCGGGCACCGGGTCCATCCAGCCTCGAGGCAGGGGGTTTGGGAAGTGAAGTAGGCAGGGAGAGAGAGGCTGGGGTCCATCCATGCCCTGGGGCTTCCGGCCACAAGAAGTCCTGGGGTCCCAGGCGGAACGGGCGCCAGCACCTGCGTTCTGGGTGGGGGAGGAGGAAAAAAAAAAAAAAGACCAGAGCGCCGTCAGTTTCCGCCGAGCGCGCCGAGGCGGGGGCCGCCCGCAGACTGGCCGGCGCCAGGGAGGAAACTTGGTCTCTACCTCCAGCTGATAACTCCGCGCCCCGCGCTCCCCCCACCCCATTGGCGCCAAAGGACCACAGGCGGAGCCTGCGCCGCCCCTCCCTCTTGGAGCTGACACTGCTAGCTGGGAGGGCTCCCTGTACGGCTCCAAACGACTAACGGAACGCCTCTTTTATTTAGTCGGACCTGCGCGTCCTTTCTTTCTTGGATCTTTGGCCGCTGGGACAGGGCAATCGCAACGTGCGCTTTAAGGTTGAAACGCACTCAGGGGCGAAAATCGGTCCCGTCATTCATTGGATGGGACCACGGTCAAGTTACTTGCCCCTCTCTGGCCTTGGTTTCTCTAAATAGAGCGGGTATAGTCCCTTAAAACGTTTTCCAGTTCCAACACTTACTGCTCTATCACCACCGCGCCCCCATCCTCACCCCTCCACCCCCCGAGAAGAAGGTGGGGATCCTCACCTAGAGGCGCCAGGGCGGCCAGGTCAGTGGCACAAGCTCCTCTTGTCGTTGGAGATCACAAGTTCTGGAGAGAGGTCCGCTGTCTGAGAGGAAAGAAAAAAAGAGGTAAGAGGTTGGTAAGCATGGCACTTGGGGAGCTCGAGGGGTCCAGCAGCATCCCCAGCCCTGGACCTCAGCTCTCTCCCTGCTCCCGCGCGCGCGCCCCACACATACCTGGATGGGAAGATGCGGGCCGTCCGGGGGTCCGGGGGCGGGCTCGGCCAGGACCACCTGCAGGTCGAGGATGTAGTCGATGACACGCTGCAGGATTTCCACCTGGCTAAGCTGGGTGCCCCGCGGGACGCCGGGGACCAGCTCCCGCAGGCGCGAGTAGCAGTGGTTCATGTCATCCAGCAGGCTCAGCGGCTCCTCCGCTGCCGGGCCCTTGCCGCGGCCCCGCGCGATTGCCAGGCTCCGTTCCGACAGGCAGCACACCGCCTCGTAGCAGCCGCGCACCGGGCTCAGCGCCTTCATGTCGAGGAATGAGGTCTGGAAGTGCCCGAGGTCGGAGAAGCTGGAGAAATGCCTACAGAAGCTTGCTCTGTGCAGACGCTCGCCGGAGCCGCTACTTATAGAGCCCCGTAAGCCACGCCCCTTTATGCAAAACAGCCCTCCGAGGCCCCGCCCCCGCCGACCCTTGGGCGTTCACAACGCGGTTAAATTGCAAACAGGCTTTCTTCGGGCCGGTCTGACGCCGAATACCGCGGAGTCGTGGATTCAAAGAATGAGGAAGCGCTGATACTGGGGGAGAGGCGGGCCTCTTTGCCAGCAAGGATTTTAAAAATCACTTAAAACCATTAACTCTAAGAATTCGCCTTTTCCTGGCAGCGCCCCAGATTCTTTGAGCTCCCCTGCCCCCCCCCTGCCAGTCCACCCACAGCCCCACACTACTGCGAACCCACAGTTCTTCCGAGGTCATAAATCCCTGAACAGCAAAGAAGCTTTTCTTTCTTTCTTTTTAAAGCAAACGGATTTTTTCAAGGGAAACTTGTAAGGAATTAGTGCCGCCTTGTTCCCCAATTTGCTGTTGTCTGACCTCCAGACTCACTGGCGTCAGGAATTATCTTGTGACCAGAAGGGAAAAAAATTAATTGCGGTGAAGCTGAGGTTACAATGAAGAAAACAGATTTGGGCTAGGCGCTGAGATTACAGAAGGAGGTGGGAGAAGGGGTTTGAGCAAAAAACTATTTGAGCAAGGGAGGGAAAAAGCTTGAATCCATGTTTTTTGCCCGGAGAAGGAAAAGAGCTCCCATCTTCTGGCCCCATGCACTTCATAAGGAGCCAAAAATATGCCTAGTTATATGTTGGAAGTGAGTTTGAATAAAAATTTGGACAGGGTTTTGAGTGTGTGTGTCAGAAGGGATGATTTCTATGTAACCTTTTAGGAGACCCGCATGGACTCAGCAAGAATCTCTTAACTCTTGCTTCCTCCTTTCTCCCCACTCTCCAAACAGCTCGATGCAATGCAGAAAACAATAGTTTGGTGATACCATGAGCTCTATTGTCTATCCCTTTCTGCTATGGAAAGGCAAGCCACCTGGACTTGATTATTGTAGGCCTTGCTAAAACAGCTCCAGCTCTATCTGAGAGCCCAGGAAAGGAACCCGAGGACAGGCACGTTAAGCTCTGTGTTGCAAAAGGACATTCCCGTCAGTGTTCTTTGCTCGTCTTATCACTTCCCAAAACTTTTGGGAATTTGCAGCCTTAAAATGCAGGTTCCCATCTTGACACTGGCCAAGTGGGATTCCCCCAATGGTTGCTTCCTTTATCAATCAGTTGGAGGCAGTGGCTTCTGCTCTCAAGAATGTCACAATTTGGGGAGACCAGATTAACACAGGAAGCAATTAAAGAGTTCTATAGTGTGTGGCACTGATTAACAGGACAATGAAAGCTCAGAGCTAGGAGTCTCAAAAGAGTCCTAGTGAAAAGGACATGGAACTGGAAATCGGGAGCCTTAGGTTCAATATCCCAGCCCTGCCAAAAATTTGTCACGTGATCTTGAACAAGTCCAGCTACTCCAACCGCATTTGCCTTAGGAATAAAAGGGGGAGATGGTGCTAAGTGTTTATTTTAAATCCTTTCCAACTCTGGAAGTCTTAAGGCTTTATAATTTGGGACGGGCAGGTGTGGCGTGATAAAGGGTACAGAGGGCTATAAAGCATGTCCAGTGTCACACCACAAATAATGGCAGAGCCAGACCTGAAGTCTTGCTCTTTGCTGTCATACCACAGGGCTTGCATGCCAAGAAAGACTTTTGAAAGATAGGAATATTTTCAAGGTTAGCCTCTTTACTATAAGGAAAAGGAAGAAAATAACCAGCAAATCAATCTATATGTCCTTACAGACATGAAATGAAGAGCATGTCAGCTCTTTGGTCATAGAAAGGGAAAATGGTGGCTTATGGGAATTCCTGAATGACCAACTAGAAAGCCCCTTTCTTTTCTATCATGCAGCTTGCCATGGTTTGTGCAAAATGGCAAAGCCCAGGAGGTTCTGGAAAAATCATGGCCTTCAGGGGCAGGCAGATTTATGTTCAAATCCCCACTCGCTTTTACTAACGATGTGAACTTTGGGTAGGTCACTCCTCTGCGCCTCAGTTTCTAATTTATAAAATTGACCTAATTAGACCAACCTCACTCCTTTCAACCAATAATTGTTTGAATGCCTCTTCTCTGAGAGGCGCTTGGCATGCTCCCTCCATCAGATCTGCTAGTCTCCTTGGTGCCTGGGGACTCAGTGTGGGCCAGGTGTGTGGTAGGTGCGCGGTCCACAGGTCCTCACAGGTTCTCCTCGGGCTTGTAAAGCCATTTGCAAAACACCTTCACATTTGTTATTACCCAAGATGCTTTCAGACTGAAATGCCTCTGGGCTGTGTGACATAAGGCAGGAGAGGGACGCAGCGGGGTAAGCAAGCTGAATTCTGTCCTGGCCATGCCAATTACTTGCAGCGTGGCCCTGGATGCATTTCCTTCCTTCCTGGGCCTCACTTTTTGTAAATCTGGGGGTGGAGGGAGTGTTGGGGGTGGGGGAGGGAGCACACGACCTCGAAGGGTCCTTTCAATCAAACATTCTAATTCTGAACAAGCAGGTTAAAAGGTTGGAACACGGAATGAGGTCTGAACCCCAAAGACTTCTTGTTCCCATCGGCAGGCTGGAGGGCCAGCTCGGGCCTTCTGCAACTTGCTTAGCGGCGGCGGGGGCCTCAGTCTCTTATTCCAAATGTCTCTGAACTTTCTGTTCCCAGTTCTGCTTCTTTTACCAGCTTTTTCCCCCCTCTTGCATTTTTTATTTTTATGAAAGGATGTCATTAAGGCTTTTGTCTGCACTGTTTTTGTTTCAGAACTTTTCTCACAATCCTATTTTTTGTTGAGGAATCCGCTCCTTTGCCCAGCTGTGGGTCCCGGTCCCACAGCTGTGTTGATCTAAGACTCAGCCCCAGACAGCCTGGCGCCAGGGTGGGACGTCATGCGTTCACACAGGGATGCGTGTCCCAGGCAACCTTTCCTCGGGCAGTCACCGGCCGGCGACGGCCGCCCCCGCCAATCAGCGTCCGACACCCGAGAAAGGGGCGGGGCCTGCGCCGCGGGTCGGGGAGCGGCTTGTGAATCGCAGATGCTGAGAACTTGATAACGTTCCTTGAATTGGTGTCTTTTAAAGTCTACCCCCCCACACACACCCGCTTTCTTTTCTTTCTTTGTTTATTCTCTTTCTTTCCACCGGCTTTCTTTATCTATATATGTGTATAGTTCTTCGTGGTCATCGTTTTCTTCCTTTTTAACTATCTCCTCCCAGTGTCAGGAATTATTTTGTAAGCACTTCCAGGAACCGAATCTTCCTTTGCCAAAATTTAAAAAAGAGAGAGAGAGAAAAGAAAGAAAAAATCAGTGTTGTGCTCTCTGCTCTTTTTTTTTTTTTTTTTTTAAGCGTTGGCAGAACTATTAAGTTATACTGTTTTGTCTTTTAAATTTTTTAAAGTGGTGGGGGGTCTCTGAGCTGGTGATTTCAAAGCCAAAGTAATGATGATGAGAGTTGCAGATGTCTTTTTACCTAAACTGAGCTTCTATCTATCTACCTATCTTTTTTTTTCTTTTTCTTTTTCTTCCATTTATGTGGAAAGTGAGAATCAAGGAAACATCAGAAACTTGCCCAAGGTTACTTGGGATGTCAGCTGCCCACCTGTGGCCAAGCCCGGACCTCCTCCTCCTCTGGCTCCCCGTCCCCTCTGCCCTCTGAGTCTCATTAGCATTAGAGGGATCTGCTGTGGCCTCAACACCCCCAGACTCTGCATTTCCCAACATGTACCTGTTTGCTCACAAAGTGTCTGTAAAGGTTTGCAGAAAACGTCCTAGCTGCATACGTAGAACCTATCCATACCTTCCCACCCAGCAATGCCACAGACAAGAAAGCACAGGGAATTCAAAAGCCACACCAGGCTCGAATCCTTCATGGTCTGCCTTCCCTCAGTTGTCCCTTCCGTAAAATGGGGGGAGGGGAACAACATCCATCTTTCTCACAGTTGGGAGGGTCAGAAGGAACAGGGGATGGAAAGTGCTGTGGGAACTGTCATTATTTTTATGTGTTATGATGTAAAGTAGTCCCCTGGTGAGGGGGATAGATGGTGCCCGGTGAGTTGTATGGTTCCTCCTGGGTGTTCAGGAATCAGGGCCATACCGAGAGGGAGAGTGTGGGGAGCATCTGGAGCTCAGGCAGGAGTCCCTGTAGGGGTGAGGATGTCAGGGGCCTCCACGATGGGCTACTCTACAGTTGAGAAGTACTTGGTGCCATCATCATCATCATCATTATACTTTAGCGACTCTGAACTGTTTGCCAAGTTCTGTTTGCCTTCTCTCACGTTATCTTATTTCATTGACCCAGTTTATGGACAAGGAGACTGAGTTTCCAAGAGGTTAATGTGCTTGACCATGGGCTCAGAGCTAGTAAGTGGCAGATCTAAGGTTTGCAACCAGGTCTGCTTGACGCAAAGTGTCCTCTTTTGTGCCCATGCTGTTGTTGTTGTTGTTTTCTAATCTTTTTTAAAATTGATTTTTAAAGAGAGAGAAACATCAAAACAGATTTGTTATTCCACTTATTTATGAATTCATTGGTTGATTCTTGTATGTGCCCTGACCAGGATCGAACCTATAACCTTGGCATATGGGGACAATGCTCTAACCAACTAAGCTACTTGGCCAGGGCCAACATTGTTTGTTGTTGTTGTTGTTGAAAGAAAGTTGAAGTTAACAAACCCCTTGCTTCAGCTGGTAGGCAGTGACCAGGGAATGTGCAGGAGCTAGCTTGGCCTCTGGGGTGTGGTGGGGGGTTGGCCACCCACAGGGAAGTCAGAAGGGAGTTGATTTTCTGAGACCCTATCCTGTGCTGGAGCTTTCTACATTCTATCTTGTATTATCTTCTCTAGAGACTTTAGGGGTAGGTATTAGTATGAAGTTCATATAAACTGAAGTTCAGAGATTTGT